GATTTTGTAATTTAATAGCTTCTGTTTCAGCTAATTCTCTTCTAAGTTTGGCTTGTCGCTCTAATAAAGCTATTTTTCTTTCTTCTAGTTCTATATTTGATATAGAACCTTATTAATTTCATTTAATAATGTATTTCCAGAACTTTCTGCTTGAATTTCATTTTTTGTATCTTGTAAATCATTATCTGACTCTATTTCAATAATATTGGTAACTTGTGAATTGTTTTGTCGCACCCTTTTTTCCTTAATATTTGTTGAAGAAATTTTTCTTTTGTGTGAATTTTTTGATCCAGATTTATTTAATTTTGTTGCTAAATTATAAATTAACAGTATATTATTAAATTTATATTTTATATATATTATAATTATATAGTATATTAAAATTAAATATTTACCTTTACGATTAATTGCAATTTGTTGCTTTTTTACATCACTTTTATCACGTCTAGAATAAGGAATGCCTGAAAAATCATGAACTTCTAAATTTTTAATAATCTTTCATCATGCCGTTTTCCACTAAAAAAAAAATAAATTTAATAAAATATATAAATAAATTTTTAAATTAAATAAATAAAATATTACTTTAAAATTGCTGATAATAATTTTAAATGTTTTCTATTTTTATTTACTAAGGCATGAGCCGCTTCTGCTGAGTTTGTATTATTTTCATATTTTCTCTAAATTTGATGATCCATTTTTAACATATTTATATTTAATGATGAAATTATCCATAAAGTTTCGTAGTAATTTGCCCAATCTATTTAGTAAATATATAATTTAAAATTTTATAATAGAATTATTTAAATTAAATATATATATATAATTTATCTTTTGCACCAGCTTCATCCGAAGATTTAATTGTGTTTAAAATAGATTCAACTGATTCAAAAGATGGTGCATTTATAATTGATTTTGCCAATGTATAAATTTCTTCGGAAAAATATTTATTAAATATATTTCTATAAAATAAATAAATAAATAATTAGTTTATAAAATATCTAACCGTTGAAAATGTATAATGCATGATTTGAATATATGCATTAAATGTGATTCCCAATCTTTAGATTGATCTAATTCATATAAAGCAAGTCCAAGACCCTTTGCTTGTCCAGCATCCAAATCTCCAATTATACATTCCCAACCTTTACTATGAATATGATAAATATATAGTGGTTTATTGGTAAGTTCTTGGATTGTATTAAATAATATATTAAATAATTTTTTATAACCATCGGCTAAGGATATATTTGTATATATTCTACAATAGCTTAAAACTAAAATTCAATTAATATTAAATTATATAAATATATATTATTAAAATTTATAAAATAATAATAACTTACTTAATTTATATTTTTTATCATAAGTATTGATTTCAAATTCATTTATATCACCTTTTATACATTTATAAGACATATCAATTTGAAAAGTTTTCAAATTGATTAATAATTCAACTTGCTCCTTTAACATACAAGTAATTAAAATATAATCATTATCAAACCATTCTAAATAATAAATATTTATTAAATATTAAAATTAATAAAATTATTAAAAAAAGTTATATTTAAACATTTGACAATTACACCATTATAAAGATATAATTTGCCTTAACAATCGTTACTTCAATCGCTTACATATTTATTACAATATTGAATTTAAAATCAATTGAAGTTGCCACATGTCTGGTATTAAATTTAACAATTTTATTATTGTACATGCGTTATCAAATTTAGAATCAATTCAAGTTGCTTTTATACTTTGTATTAACTTGGGTTGCGTTTCAATTTAAGTATTCTATTCTATGTATTCTGATATTCTATGTATTCTGACGTATAACATACATACCGATACGCACTGTTGTACACTGGACAGTTTGGAAATGTGAATAACTCATTAAAAAAAAAAAAAAGAAAAACTTAAAATGAATCTTTTGAAATAGGTATTAATTATCTTCGTTTAGATGTATTCCGAGAATTGTGGTCAATGGGTTATTGTAAAATCCATACCATTTATAATTGATCATTTACGTTTATAATTGATCATTTATAATTGATCTTTGCAGATATAATAAATATAATGGAAATATAATGGAAATATAATGGAAATATAATGGAAATATAATAGATATAATGCACAACACAATTAATTGTGCATACCGATTGTTAATCTCAAATAGATATTAAACCTGGTTCTTACATGCGTCGAAATATCCTCCTGACATGTATAGACAATTGTTTTCTTGATCTTTTGTTAAATGTTATTTTGTTAAATGTTATTCTTATATTCTTTTTGTATGGGTTAGGCGTGCATGCGTTCGTACCGTAAGCGATTTTTGAAATCCAAAATCTACTGTTCGCCAATAAATCGAAGTAAAATGACTATTATGATAATTGGAACAATTCGAAAATATTTATAATTTATGATTTTAAGTGACTATTTGAAGGATTGCAGTGTTTAGTGATGGGACTTACCGGGGTTAGAAATTCAGGCTGTTTAATTGTCGAATGTTGTAAAACAAAAATTATAGATTTACTTTTTACATTATATAATTTTAATTGTAAATATAATATACGTTCGCTGTATTAAAAGTATTCAATCATTAATGTAGTAATATGAATGAATTCAATTAAAAATCTTAAAATGATAATAATTGTTGCGGCTGATGTTGAAATTTGGACTTATTTTGATATGAAAATTTAAAATTTTTTGGGGGTGTTTTTTTCCTCCTCTTTTTAGGGTTGGATTAGGTTTTGGACAGGAATTAAACTACCTTATTACACTGCTCTTAATTGTTACCCATGACTTTTTTTCCTAATATTTTCACGGTTGATATTTTCACAGCGAATTTTCTTTTTCGTCGTTTTTTTAGATTTATTATGGTTGTTTGTAAATTATCTATAAAGAATATAACTAAGAAAGGAATCTTAAAGAAATTTTTACTTTGCGTGATGAAAAATAATAGTTATAAAGTCATGGGTGTTAGGATCCGTGTAATAAATTAGTTATTACACGCATTTGTCGTCGACATCTTGAAACATCCCGAGTATTTGTCGTCGACATCATAAAACATTCCGAATCAGTCGATATCATGCATCATTGTGGCTATGCCACAATACTGCATAATATCGAGACTGATCAATGATATCTATGATAAAACGTGAAATAACTATTACATAATAATTTGCCGGCCATTCAAAAACAATATTTTTGATTTATGAATTAAATACGAAACAAATATTTAGTTTGCTACATCATAAAGATCATTTTAAACAATATAATGCAGGCTGGCAAATTACTATAGTGCTTTAAGTCCTGATTTTGTGTTAGAATTAATACAGTAATTAAAAAATTGATAATATTAAAAGACTGTTAATTAAAATATATACG